CAGAATGTAAATACTATAATGACTGCAATGAGAAAAAGAACACTAATAATAGCTCCCATTCCACATTAGGTATTGGCCAACATCCTCATAATGGCCTACAAGAGATCTATGTGATCTTCCATCCTGTACACTTTCTCTCCTCTTCCATTACTCTGCTCTTCGTCAACTCCCTTCCAGCCTAGCCAGCCTCCCCAGGGTTTCTGGACATACCAGGCATTCCTTAGGGATTCACTCTAGCTTCCCTGTGCCTAGAATGGTTACCTCAGACACCTGACGAACTCCACTCACCCTTTTCTCCCACCTTGCCTTTGTAACGAATGGTTGGACTCCAACTTTCTTCTGCCACTCCCACACAGGGCACACCTAGTCCTTCGAACCCTTGTTTTTCTATTTCTGCTTATTTTTTATTTACTAAATTATTATTATGTTTGCCTTCATTATTTATTTCCTGTCTCCCTCTGAATAGACTGTAAGTTCCACAAAGGCAAGAATCTATTTCATTCACAGATGTATCCCAAACACCTAAGAGTTTCTGGTTCAGGGCAGGTGCTCAACATATATGAATTCAAACAATTTGGAAGCTGGAAGGCAGACAGGGAAGAAATGTGAGAATGTCCATTCTCCTCCCTTGTATGCTAGGGAGTTAACACTGCATAAAATTCAGTATATGTTTTTAAATGCATTCAACATCTTGTGTTTTCCATAACACCCTCTCAATATTTATCTGAAGCTATATCATTCCTTTATTCGATATTTTTCTTTTAAATTCATATACCGTAATTTTAATACATCTAATTTTTACCGGAGCATGCCGATGTGATGGCACTGTCGCAAGCTTGTCACCTTATGCTAACAGAAAGACCTTTTCATTCCCTTAATTTATCTGCAAAAGGACACATTTGGACCAATGATCCCTTAGTATTAACAAACTGCCCAATAATTTGGGCATTTTTTTTACTTCCTCTTCAAATCTGTTTTTCATTAAGTAAAATTTTTGTAATAAGTATTTATCAGTTGTAAAAATTATAAAGTGAAATTTATACGATAAATTACTTACTTCCTTAATGAGTTAGCTCTACCTCCAAATGTCCCAAAAGTAGCTCAAGGACCGGCCTTAATCCTTCTTACCTCAACCTTGTTTTCTTGTGTGTCATCAAGGATGAGGCATGTTTATCAAATTATAACTTGATATTTAAATATATCTTTGACTCCTGTCTTAACAAGGTACTGGTTATCAAGCATTCTCTGTTTTTAATTTTAATTAGCATCTCAAATCTAATTCTACTCCTCAATTCCATTGCTGCGCTCAAATACTCTACACAGGAGGAAGTCCAAATTCTTCCACCCATGGCTCAGATGTCTTGAGAATCTGCCCTTGATCGCCTTTCCTGCCTCAGTCCCCAACTCTCCCCAGCCTCTGCACCAGGCTTGTGTTCTCAAAAGTCCAGACAACTTGCTCATGGTAGGCTCTCCTCCCTTTTGTTGATTTTGTTTTCTGCTCTCTTAGTCTTTACTGAAGTTCCCTTTGAAAAGCCCAACCTGTCTCAGAAGTGTGGAGGAAAACAAGGAAGGGTTGTCTGTCCATTTGTATATTTGTTTGAGTGTTCCCTCGAGCTGGAAGTTTAAAAGGAGGTACAGTACACAGAGATGGGGAAGAGGCAGTGAAGGTATGGTCCTCCAAGGAGAAACAAAGGGATAAAATCTGAGAAAGGAAGCACGACCAAAGGGCGTATCCCACTGTTGCTTCATCTGCTTAATCAGCTGTCCTGTCACTTGGAGAGATCTTTTACCGGAACCCCGCTGTTGCAGTTTTAGACAGCATAGGTTTTATTAAAGAGATTATTACCCTGAACTTTGTTTTACAAAGTGCCATTGAACACGAGCCTCCTGACATGACTGACATACAACAGGGGCACCTGGCGGAGCCTTTGATCCCACTCAATGAATGGATAGCTAGTCTGGTCCTGATCTATACTCTCCAGGGTATTTTTGCCTCCAAGACGGTCAGTGGAGACGCCACTGACTATAGGACTTGCAGGCTCCATAAAAGTTCAGAGTGTGGGAAGGAACGAGAGAGAGGAGTAAGGGAGTTCATCTCAGCCTGGGGGAGTTATTCAACAGAATCACTCAAATCCCCAATGACTGTTGATCTGAATAGAGCCACAATAGGAAACAGAAAGCTTGTCTTTCACGAGTGATCTTCAGGCCAAGGACATTGCTTGGAAAGCTGTTAAACCTTCACTACTCCAGTGTGATCCACAGACACCAAATGGAAGCCCAAGCAATTGAATGGACCCAAAACCTGCTGCGTCTCCGACCAGGAGGCCAGAAGCAGGAACCTGCTGCTGGCTTCTTAAAGATGGTCTGTACCTGAGCTCAGTGCATGCAGAAAATGAGCAGAAAAGATTGAGGAGGATGACAGTGGAAATCAAGCCCCATTTTCCTGACAGTGCACTCAGGTGTGCATCTGTTCCCTGATTCTGTGTTGTAATTAAAAAGGATGATTTTTACATATTTAGATATTTTCCATTTATCCTGGTCTGATGCCTGAATTTGAATGCAGCTGAAGTTAAGGGTACTAATTAATTGTGAATCACTCCAATACTTGAATACGAGGCCTCTCGAGCCTAATGTGCAAATTTATGTAAAAACAATGTGAAAATTAGAAATGCATTGGCACATTTTTTTAACCAGAACTGTAGCATTCTGTCTAGTCAAACAGACTGCTCATTTGCAAGTTGTCTATATGCAAAGCGTTCTGCCCCTGGGAGCCTCAGATCTCCTTAGCAAGTGTCTGAAATTTGAGAACAGCTTTGTTCTGAACCTCCTTTCTCCTCTCCTGCTTTCTTCTCTCTTGGCTTCCAGCAGTGTGGACAAAAGGCTAAGTACGGATCTCACCTGGCAGCCAGCAGTGAGCAGGGCCCAGAACAGGAAGCCCACCCAGGGACCAAGCCAAATCACCGGCCAGTCCAAAAGCCTTGTTTCCCCTTGCAGGCCAGACCCAGGGAAGTGAAAGAGGCTGTTGGTGGGTAGGTCCTAAGCGAGCTCTCTGACTTTCAAGTGATGGTTGAGGTTAAAGCGGGGCAGTGGCTTTGAAAGCCCATCACCATTGCAGTGGGCTTCGTGGGAAGAGCCAGGACTGACAGGTGCAGCAGCAGAGGGAACGTTCACCAGAACGTGGGTCGGAGGTCAGTCCCAGAAGATGCTTGCCGGGGCCTGGCAGGCCAGGGCCAAGTCATTCCATGTGTGGGAGTGGCAGGGGAGTCCTTATGGGAATTATCCAGCTAATCATTTAGTTGTGGGAGCAGAAAGGGTAATGACAGAGACGGGAGGTTTCGCAGGAACTGGCATGAAGTCAGACAGAGCTAATGGCAACCCACCCATGGCAGCAAAGGCAGCCATGAAGCATGACAGCTGAAGAGGGGCTCTCCTGGGACAGGAGCTGCACCAACAATGAGGGTGAATCACTGTCACCCGTTAGGGACATTGCACAACGTTTTCCCAGTAGCACAATCCCAGATTAAAGGGACAGCATCACTAGGCCCCCAGCGCTGGGCGGGGCGAGGGGTGGGGGAGTGGGGAGGGGAGACATCGGACACAGCTGACTCCTCTGCTTGGTGCTCACTGCCCATGTTTGCTCACAGTATGAAAAAGGTAATTCCCCATATTGAGTTGCTCTGTAAATGCTGTTCTCAGTTGTAAGCAGGAAGCTCAATTTCCACCAGCTTCAATGCCATGGTCGTCACCCTGACGTCGGTGTTCTATGGCCTTGATACTCACGGTGTGGTCCCCTAGATCGGCATCATTACCATCAGCTCTGAGCGTGCTGGAAATGCAGACATGCTGGGCCCACCATAGGCTTCCAGAATCAGATTCTGCAGTGTAACAAGATCCCTGGACGATTCACGTGTTTTGAGAAGTTCTGTTCTCAGGTACTTCTCCTAATTTTCACCAAGCCAGACTGAGTTTCACGGGGTCCAGCTGTCAGCTGGGTGACATTGACTAAAGCACTTCATTTCCTGACCCTCAAGTCCTCATCTGTAAAACGGGCATGCTCATCCTACTTGATTTAACATGATTAATGTAAACAACCAATTAGAATTCGTCCTATAAACTGAGAATCCTGATCGAATACTCGGTTTTATTCTTACGCTGCATCTTGGCTGAATAATTGGATTATAACTCCTGAGAACAAGAACAATCTCTCCTCTACCTTTTTTTTTTTAATCTTCTTTACATACCAAGTACAGTTTTTTGCCTACAATGAGGTTGACTATTTGCCATTTACAAAAATCAACCTCCCTTGGAACCTCCAACCACCACCCCCACCACAAATAAAAAATCTGATTTCAATTCCTGACTCCAAGCACAAAGAGCTCCTGTCACTCTGACCTAATCCTCTGAGGTTCATCCCTCTAAATAATTGTATTGTCTCTATCTCAAACAGCACTCTGTTACCATGACGACACACACATAACCGCTTGTGTAATTGAGGGTGACTCCACTAGTCAGCACCCTCCCCACCAGACAAGATAGAAAACATTCTACCCTCCTGCATGTTCCTCTCCCATAGGTTTGCATCAAGACCCTACGTGTTTCTCAAACTTACATATACTTTATGAACACTATAGACCGGTAGGAGCAGACTGATTGATACGGTAGGAAGACGATTTGGGGGTGGAAACTGGAGGTCTGGGTCCCAATTCCGAGCCTGACACTAATTTGCAATTTAACTTGGCATAGGACACTCAACATTTCAGGACCCAGCACCACCCCCCATTCAAAGAGCGGTGAGTGAACAAGGTACTGGCTTAACCCTCCAATGTTCTGTCATTTCCTGAGTTGTTTCTCAGTGTCACTTAACTGACATTATTTAACAAACCTTCCCGGCATTAAACATTAACACGGCTCTTTTTCTACGGCATGGTTCATTATCATGCCAATAAATGATTAATTACAATTCTCCAACCGGACCAATAATTTGGCAGGAACTGTATGATTCATAACTTGTGCTTTGTTGTAATGTTACCTCTGAAAACTGACATACTAGCATTTATTGCTTTTATTGCCCCTCCCAGGTGGCTTCTGAAAGAGAAAATCAAGTGACACATGTTTAAGAAGGGTTTAAAAGTTTGACGTGGTTGGGTTAGGCATTATTTACCTAGCGAGAAGCAGAAGATTGGTGCTTCTGCGGACTTGTGTGACCATCTGAGCAGCAAATCCAGCAATGAATAATTCAACGGGCTGTCCGGCCAGTGCAACTGTGTGCAATGGCATGTCCTGTGTGGTAACTAAGAAAAACTTCAATGACATTCTCAGTGTGGTACTGAGTACTGTCTTGACCGTCCTCTTGGCTATGGTGATGTTCTCCATGGGATGTAATGTGGAAATCAAGAAATTCCTAGGACACATAAAGCGGCCGTGGGGCATATGTGTCGGCTTCCTCTGTCAGTTCGGAATCATGCCCCTCACAGGATTCATCCTCTCAGTGGCCTTCGACATCCTCCCCCTCCAAGCCGTGGTGGTACTCATCATGGGATGCTGTCCCGGAGGAACCGCCTCCAATATCTTGGCCTATTGGGTTGATGGCGACATGGACTTGAGGTAAGATAGCTAAAGCTCTGCATACTGTGATCATATTATGAATTAATCTTTTCAGAAGCCTATGGCTCTGTGATGTCCATCTGATCTGCCACTGAACTAGGGTACAACTGAGGAATTAAACAGAAGAGACTAAATGGATTCAGTCGCCTTCCTGTACAACTGCTTAGCTGTTGGAATTTGGGGGTTATACTTGGTACTTGTGCTTTTTAATCTAACTCAGCTCACAGGCATTTGGATAACTGCTATTTATCTTTGGGAAAAGATCCAAAGTTTTTCAAAAAAGAGATTCTTTCTGAGCCACACATGTACCTGAGAAAGTTTTCCTAGTTGGTACCAGCAAAACAAAACAAAACAGCTTTTCTCTGTGGTGATGAGAAGCTCCGAATGCAATCACGAAATCAAATTGTTCATTAAACAGTAGAATCTGTGCTGAGACAATGGTCAACTCCACAAATCCAGCCAGATCTTTGAAGAAACGTTTTCCTGGTATAAAACCTAAGGAAGAATCTGTACATTTGCCTCATTCTGCTGGCATTTAAAGAAAGAAAAGAAAAAAAAAAAAAAAACCTACAGCAGCTTTTTTTTTTTAATTATGCTTACCTTACTATAAAATAAACAGAAAATGGTTTCTCTGCTTCCCACAGAGTAACCTAAATTGCAGTGTTTGCCCAATTCTTCCCGTGCCAGTCTGAACTAGCACTGAGGGGGAAAAAAAAAAACTAATGGAAGTAAGAAGAACCATTAATGTGATGAGACCAAGAAAGTTAGTGCTTTAAGTTGAATAGAGAAATGTCTTTTTCCTTCCCTGACAATTCCTCATTTCCTGGGAAAGGTATGCATTTCTGCAAAGCAGCCAGGTGTTAATGTAACGAGTGCTTATTAAATACTATACGGTAGGTAATCAGCTCTGTTAATCACCAGCTACTCTACTCAGAAGAGAGAAGCTTAAAGTATAGAAATGTAACCGCTGCAAAGTGTAAAACTGTATTCCATGTTAATCCAGTGCCTACTGAGCAACTGGGAGCCTGCCATCTCATCTCAGCTGGGGCTGATCCTCCCAAAGCTTCAGAAAAGCCACACAACGATGTGTCTGCACTTCACATATTTTTCACTTAAGGAAATACCATATCCCCCTTGCAAGAGATTTTTTCCCCCCTAAGGAAGTCCTGTAAAGAACAAAGGATGGCAACTGTTGTTCAGGTTTAGTTAATCTGTGAACCACCACATAGCAATAAGGTCCTTTTAGACTTCAACTTAGTTTGTTCTGGACATGAGCACACAGAAGTGACAATTCTCAAAGCCAGCATCCACTACAGCAAGGGGAGTGACCTGAATTGAATATAGGACTTTGACACCCGCTGACCAGCTTTTACATAATATTTGTAACTTTTGAGCAAAATGGGAGAGTCTTCTACCTCAAGATAATGCCACATGTGTAATCGTTTTTGTAAGATGGAAAAGTATGCACGATGCTGGGTTATTTGGCTGTTGAAACAGATTTCTTTCTGCAGGCTAAAACTGTAGGGACCTAATCTAAAAGCTCCAACTTACACTTTTCTGTGGTCTTAAGGAAATCTTACTGGTCTTGAAACAGATGATTATGTAATCCTATCTACCTTATATAACAATTCCTCAAAAAAATAAAAATATTTTTTTAAAAAACCTAACCAAAGTAGAATTTGAAACCTCAGTAGAAAACGTCCAGCTGAATCAGTGTATACGAAAGGTGCAACAAGTCAGAATTATCCCTGAATGGGACATACGACACTGGAATTTTTAATTTTCGTTCTAGAAAATGTGTACTCCACAGATCCCCCTTGTCTTGCAATAACAAAATAACACCAATGGCTCTCCAGGCCAGCAGTCACCTTGCCGACAATTCCACCTATCCAGAACTCAAACAAGACCCAGGAAAAGACTCTACACAGCCAAAATAAATCCAGTTTAATCTAACAAATGTTCCTTACACAGGACCTTCTTCATCTCCTAGTCCTAGAGCTCTATCGTGCTATTTCCCAGCAGTGAAATAAGTGAAAATAAGAGACGGGAGCAGGGAACGAGGCACCAGAGCGGCAGGCCTATGTCCCACAGCAGCAAGTGACCCAGAAAGCCTGACCTCAAGAGAGAAGACCAAAAAATGCCTGCAAAGCAATGAAGGCAACTCACAAGGCACAGCAGCCTCTGCATCACTTCATCTAGAGCCCAACGGTTCTGTAAACACAACCATCCAGAGGACATTGCTATATTTTAGCAGAGCACATCATGACGCCTATCATGATGGCTCATGATCATTGAAAGGAGTTAAATAATGCCACTATGTAAGATGATGACATTATGCATCGTATATGTTAAAGGAAAAACTGTTCACATATTTCTTTAAAGCAAATTAAGAGATTATCACCTCAGCTATTGGGAAACAGTTTTCCAACACCTTCCATTCTTTTGGAGTCGATTCTGTCCTCTGAGAACTTCACCTTCTCCACTTAAACTGGGAACTCCGGCAATGGCGGCCAAGATAGGATTGTTTAGACCAACAGGTATCTGTACTGCCTACTAGTTGCTCGGACAGATACCACACAGTGCCGCAAAACTACTCCATCTATATCAACTTTCCTGGTTGTGGTTTCTGGGAAAAGAAACCAAATCATCTCCCCCCAGAGCCTCTCACCCCCAATCCCATCACCCCTCACCCTATTCCCCCTCTCACTTCCACTCCCATCCCCCGTCACCCCATTGTCCCCTCTTCACACCCTTGTTTCCTCCTCTCCTCCACATCCCTCCTCATCTGAACCTAGGACACCATTACATTTTGCAATCTGTAGTGAAAAAGAATAAACATCAACAACACAACAACAGCAAAAGCAGACGGCCATCCCTAACGAAATTATGGACCGCACTCATTGAAATAGAGCAAGTGATATTTCAGCTCCTTCTCAGATCTCTCCAGCCTAGAATATTGTTGCAAGAATCTGATTAGCATACAGGTATTTTCACCAGTTCTAGCTGGGCTGTGGGTATCCTATGCGCAAAATGTTTCTGGGAGAAATGAAGGTGACATTTTCAGGTGAATCTGCTGGGGGCAGGACCCAGAGTTCAGGAGACACAGAGAGGTCTGCCTCCTTTGTGCCTGCTGTATTCACAGAGATCCCCCATTTTCAAGCCTCCTTTCTCAGCAATGACCTCAGCCACACCATGCAAGGAATTTTTCCTCTTATTTTCCCTTTTTTGACTTCATCTTTGGGGAATCCCTGCTCATGCGTCCTTTCTTCCACTGCCCCCAATTCCTTCACTGCCATCTGTTAGCTACGTTCCCTTTAGCTATTTTCTAATATTAATACTGTCTAGATTTTTCTTCCACGTCCTTTGTTCTCTGGCTAAAGACTGTTGCATTTTTTCATCTTCCAGATCAGTTTTCATGGTTAATTCAGTTGTTCCAAGATCCCCACATTTCTGGCTTATCATAAATGTGAAGCAATCTCTCCTATTGAAACCACATAGATGTCCAGCTCCTCTCTACTCTAAGAGCTAACCTAAGAGTATTCGACTTTTTCTGTTTTTCCTGATAAGTAACCAAACTTTATTTCTCTCATGTAGTATTTATTTTTATTTTACTAGCTAGCATTGACCAGGCACTGTTAGGAGTCATGCACAGTACCAGTATTCCATATACATTGGTGTACTCAACCCTCAAGATAATCCTCTTGAGATAATACTATGATTTTCTGCCTTTGACAGATGATAAAATTAAGGCTCATAACCTTCACCAAAGTCACAAAGGCAGTACATGTCAAAATTATAATTTGGATCCAGACTTATCCAGTTATCCCTACCCAGACTCTTAACCTTTGTTCAACATTGTTTCTAAATCTTACCACATTCCCAATATCTAGCACTATCTGTATACACTTTGATCTTTCAAATTTGGTGTTTCACTTCTAATATGATAACAGTCTTGGCATTCCTCATCACTAATGTCACCAAATTTCTCAACATTTACTGAATTCTCATTTAATGTTTTTATTTCTAAAAAGAAATCCTTTAATAGAGCTAAACCCAAAAATTAAAGACAAGAGATATTTTTGCTTTTCTTATGTTTTTCCTCATTCCAAAAAAAATTCATGGTAGTATTTCTACATTGACACCTATGCTTCTTATAAAATTTCAGATTTCATTCAAGTAAAATGATTTTCTTTTGCTAATCTATTCCCCTATATTGCTCCCTAAAACTATTACCTATGAATTGTTTTTCATCTCATTTTGAGTGGCTTGATATTGTTCTCATATTAGTTTAAATGGCATCAACTTCTGGGCCATCTAGTCTCCTATACCTCTGCAATGCCTCACGGTCAATGTGGCCCACTAAAGCTAGACCATTCCCTTCTCCAACTGTTGACTTGTCCTTTCTCATGTTCTTTAAGAAACTATTCTTGCCAAACTCAAAACCATGATACAACTTCATAAATTGTCTTAGCAATAATTCAAAATTGAAGCTTTCCCAAAGAAATTTGAAAGAAAAAACAAAGAAAGAAACAGACTTCCTTTGAAATGCTGTTCTCATAGTTTAAAACAAAAATTCTTGGCCACCTTTTTGCTCTACGATCCAGGTAGAAAACACTTTCTTTCGTGCACCCCTCTCCTGTCCTCTTCACTCTGGAAAGTACACCAGACTTGCTGAAATAAAAGTGACTTCATTATGGCCATAACCTTAAATCCATTCTAATTTGTTTTTTAAATAAAAGATAAAAAAGAGGGCTCCTGGGTGGCTCAGTCGTTAAGCATCTGCCTTTGGCTCAGGTCATGACCCCAGGATCCTGGGATCAAGCCTGCTTCAGGCTTCCTGCGCCACGGGAAGCCTGCTTCTCCCTCTCTCACTACCCCTGCTTGTGTTCTCTCTCTTGCTGTGTTTCTCTCTGTCATAAACAAAATCTTTAAAAAATAAGTAAATAAAAATAAGAAAGATAATGTCAAAGGAAAGGAGAGAGTTTATAAACTCCAGTATTTTAATGATAAGTAGGACTGTTCCTGAAAAGTATTATTCTGGTTTTGGATTCTGCCTTAGCATCCCTTTTTTGTATCTCAATTAAGTTAACCTGTCACAATAAATAGATGGAACTTCTTGGAAATGTTTTACGTACATCCTTAGCACTGGTTGGTGTTATATTATTTTAGCTGCACTAAGACAAGTATTTTTTTTTCCTAAAATCTTTAAACACATTTTAAGTGAGATCATCTGGTTTTTTTTTTAATGGTTATTAAGGAAGTTAAGCCCCTGATAAAATTATTGCCACAACGCTTATTTTCGTGCCAAAACTGCTTCATACGTTAAAATGAAATTCCTTACCTCCAGCTGTTTCCCTTAACACTTGTGTAGTGTGGTTGTTGGTGTTTGTGGAGGGCAGGGGAATGGGAGGGCACAGGTGATATAAATAATTTCACATTTTCCTTTAAGTCCACATATAATACCTTTAAGAAATTACTACTCTGATAGTCTCCAATGCTACAACTTTTGGAGAAAGAACTTTCAGAAAAATTTCTCCAGTTTCCTGATTCTGTATTATGCCAGAAGCCCCCTCCCCACCCACACACACGCAAACACACACACATGCACACGCACACACATGCATACACACAATGGCTGGATGGCTACACAGTAACTGAATTTTAATAAAAGCCTTGCATTACTCTAAGTACTGGACTCATTGGGTCATTAGTCCTTACAGCCTATGAGGTGGCGACAATTTTATCTTCATTTCACAGATAAGGAAGCTGGCAAAAGGAAGTCAAGTAAATTACCCAAAGAATATAGTACTTGTGTAGTTAAGTGGCCACGCCTGCTTCCAACCCAGCCAGTGTCTGGCTTTAATGTCTGGCCCAGACATTTAACAGCTCAGTATCCCAGGAAGAGAATGTGCCTCTGGGCTCATGGCCCTTAGACAGGACCAGGAAGACCCACTGCCCAAAAACCTCTCTTCCGTTCACTGTCACATTGCTGAAAATAGCACCATTCCATGAATTCTTCCATGTCAAAAGCCAAAGTCCGCTGACCAAGCCAGGTCCACTCACTGAAACACAGATGCTCTCAGGAGGAACAGTACCAAATCCTGGTTTTTCTGGACACACGTTTGGTAAATTTCTTAGTGGAAAATAGAATCCAGGCCTCCCCTGCCCGCTCGGCTTCCTCTTTCTTTCTCAAGCCACAGGCATTGGGAAAATAATCTGTCTGCTTTCAAAAAAGACACTGAGGCTCCCTCTCTTGGGTATGTGTTCTCCTCCAAAGGTCCAGGGAGACCCAACTCGTCTCAGTACAGACAGACACAGCAAAGCCCCTAAAGTCTTGGCTGGTATAGATGTGTTTGCTCTTCTCTGACGGGAACTCCAAACGGTGGAGTGTCCAAGCACTTTGCACCTTCCTAAATAATAAATTAAAACAGCCATTAACTATCTTGAGAACCTTGAGATTGATCCTTGAGAACCCATGGGGAGGGAGGAAAGACCCAAGACAAAGTAGAAAAACAAATCCAGATCTCAGCATTTTGCCCAAGGCTGGGACCTGCACAGAGATGGGCACATGTCTGTATCCATCTCCATCAGCCTAGATGCCGCTGCTGTCAGAGCACCTTTTGTGAGACTTCCTAATCCCAAATTGCACCATGAAGTAAGCTCTCCCCCTAGAAAGCCCAGGTGGATGAATCAACCTGCCCATTTCCTTTCAGCATCAGCATGACCACATGCTCCACGCTGCTTGCCCTGGGAATGATGCCGCTGTGCCTCTATATCTATACCAAAATGTGGGTCAACTCTGGGACGATCGTCATTCCCTTTAGTAACATAGGTAAGTAAGTCATGAATACCCCCTCCTATTCTGTTTATCTTCAGGCCAGGCTCAGACCCAGGTTGCACCGGCTCTATTGGGATTGCATTACAACTCACGCCGCATTTCAGTGCAAGTTGACAGAATCCAAATGCCAAACCTTGACCCCACGGGAAAACTTGCTTTTCCTCTATCGAAATCATCAGGTAGAGGGGCTGACTTAAGGCTTAGCTGGCTGAACCTCAGGAAGCCAAGATGGCTGGGACACAAGAGGCTCTGTCCTTTACATAACCCATAGTACAATTAGCTCGTGGGAACATGAGTTTGCTCCCAGACATTCAGATCAAAGAAATATTAAAATAAAAAAAAAATCTACCAATGATTTGAAATTAGGGCACCTAGTAAGCAATCAGGAGTGTGGCACTTGGAAACTACCAGATGAAACATACTGTAGATAACACTTGACTGCGAGCCACTATGAAGAGGGAAAGGTGACTGGTGTTTACCATAGCGCAGGAGTCAAGTCTGCTAGTCATGACCCTGTCTCCACTCATGTTGCTCCCAGATGTTTACCCCCACCCCAAAGGGGCTGTTTTTCTGTTTCTGGGACAACAGATGACAGTGGGAAATTAAGTCGTTTGTGTTACATGGGATCAAGGGTAAGATGAACCACTTCCCAAGCCCTCCCAAACCAGGCATTTCCCACAGAGTTGTAGTCATAAAAGATGAGATACAAGTGAGACAGTACATATCGCCAGGTACATGGCACACTGCATAGTCATTATTCAGCTGACCGGCTGCCTCGGGAGGTGTGGGTGTCCACTGAAGGGAGCTTAGTGTAAGCGAAGCTAAGTCATGACTCAGAAGGATATTTGTAAAGGAATTCCTGATGGCATGGGAAGCTGGACAGCTGTATCGAAAATCCTTTGTTTCTACAAAAGATTGTTTCCATGATAAAAATGGGATTGGGGCCTACACAACTGAATTTGAGCAAACTTTGAAAATACTAATCAGGGACGACCTGTATTGGCATATCTTCCTCAATATGGGATTTCTCTGCACAAGGTCTTTTTACTGATCTGGGCAACTCCATCATACCAGACATAATCACCCACAAACAGGTTTTAGGGTGACCCTGCAGAATCATCACCTCCTATGCCTCACGGTCCTTAACTCTCAGTCCACTCCCCAGGAAAGCATCTTCCTTCAACTCAAACAATGTAGACTGTTTGCATGGTGTGCATTGTAGGTCTCCCAAAGAACCTGTCTGCTGAGTAAGGAGTTTAATTCTGTATTACTTATTGTTTTAAAAAATACTTTAAGCTTGGGGTGACTGAGTGGCTCAGTAGTTAAGCGTCTGCCTTCAGCTGGGGTGATGATCCCAGGGTCTGCTCAGTGGGAAGCCTGCTTCTCCCTCTCTCATTCCCCCTGCTCATGTTCCCTCTCTCACTGTGTCTCCCTCTGTCAAATATATAAATATGTGTCTCTCTGTGTCAAATAAATAAATAAAATCTTTTAAAAAACTACTTTAAGCTTTAAAATATTCTCCTCTAGATATCCATTCCCATCTGGAAAACATTCCATGGTAATATTGAATAATTTGAAATATAGTATGAATGACTTATACCACACCCTTTAATGTGAAATTTTGAAAGAAAGAGAACATAAAAAAGAGTAATTAGCATCTCAGTGGAGGTAAAAGTCATCAGAAAAGAGGTCAGGGCAAAAAGAAAAGAAAATAGGAAAAAAAAGAGAAAAGAAGAGGAAAATATTAAAATAATAATAATAATAATGAATTTGAAGAAACAAAAATATTAACTCTGCTTATTCACCATTTTGCCCAGGCTTGTTTTCCAACTTAACCTTCCTGCTATTGCTTTGTCTAGACCTTTAAGAAAACAAGCAACCTGATTACTTCACAAGTTGTTCTCAACACTTTCTAGAGAAGGGAGCTAAGGCCCGAGGTAAAGGTTTCATTTGTCCCAGATGAGCAGGGAGCTGGAAGTGCCCCTGGGCCGCGCATGCTGTCTGTGGGCAGGACCCCAAACCCAGGCTCCCCACGATGTCCACTCGCTCTGAAGGGAAAACACCCTCGCTGAGCCCTCCCATGGGCACGTGGAGGTGCAGGAGGGCGACCCCACAGTTGGCCCCACTGAAAAGAGCTGCCACCGGTTGCCATTCCTGCCTCCCACTCCGCGGTCTCTTGGATGGTGTCCAGCGCCGTGCACTGTGCACTGCGCACCTGCCTCATCACCTAATTCCCACAGCAGCAGCGGAAGCTAGACGTAATTCTACCCACTTCACAAACGGGGAAATCAGAGCGCAGAGGGGTTGGGCGGTTTGCACCCTCCCACGGTCTGTAGGGTTCCACTCTGAGCCAACCTGGCTCCACGACCCCACTGTGACTGTCCGCCTCTCGCTTTTATCCACCTTTCCTTCCTCCTATATGTGCTCTGTGAGCTCGATCAAGGCCAAATTATGGTTCAGGTGGTGCAACCGCAAGCTGTGCTTTCCGGTCTAACTGAACAGGCCTTTGACACGGGGCGGGGGTGGGGTGGGGTGGTGCGGGCGCTTAAAGAAGAGGGAAAACAGCCCTGAGAAGAACAGAGGATCTTTACCCCACTGGGGAGACAAGAGTCACACCAACCCACCTCTTCAGGTGGGAGCCGCACACTCCGAGTGCAAGGAAGGGCAAAGAGTGTCTTTTCCAGTCAACTTCTAGTCCGGGAAAACTGTCCATGGCCGCCTCTGGTGAGAGGAAACATGATTTGGCAGGTGGTCCTGCTTGCAGGCTTATCCTATAGTCTTGGGCTGGAGATCCTATAGCCTTAGGGAGGACATAAAGACTCAGCATGAGGGGCCCGACCATGGTGAGGCAGGGGGAGAGGGTCCTTCCCCTCACAGAGCCAACACATTTAGAGTATACAGTACCCAAACCTAACCACACTGACATTCCAAGCACAGCATTTGCACCAATTTAAGTTACCACACTATAATCAATGCATATCAAGATGGTTTTCATTTAAGGCCTACAAACTTCACACAATTTGGAGAATAGTCTGGACACCCCAGGGAGGAAGTCTCCTTCCTCCCAAAGGGGATTTTTCTGGGAGCTCTCACCAGCCTGTTTATCAACAACTCTTTTCCATACCCTGTGTTCCACCATTTTCTCCCATCCTGTCCTCCCATCTTTCTTTTTTCCTGCTGTAGGTACTCCTGGCCATGACTTAATCCCTTTGAGTAATTTCTGGGAAAAAGTAACTGCTGACCTTTATATTGCCAGGAAGACCAGAAGGCTACAAAGAAATTATGTTTTCATCACTGTTGTGTTCATTTTAAATTCATATTTACAGCCCTGAAATCTAGAATCCATTTTCCAGTCCTCATTGAATCTACTCCAATGCTAAGTAAAAACCACTTTCGAAATTTCGTTATTCAATTTCACTTTCCCCTACTGCTTTAAAAAGATATTTGAAAAAGAAACAGCCCATCAGAAGTTCGAAGTTGTTGGTACTATATTATATAAAAGCAGTGATTGGACCAATGAGTGTTAAGTAACATGGAGGAACAAACCACATGTCATGGGAACAGCAGTAAATTTAACACAGAGAAATTGAAGTACGACTCTTTTATCTGGCTGGGTGAGCACGTTTCTGCAAAGAATTATAATTACTTGAGAGGTCGCCAAATATATTATCTCACAGAAAATTTAAAGCACACTTTTTCAACCTCTTCTCTCACCTCTCTGCCGTAGATTTGAATAACCGAGCTCAGTCTGAGCCAGAAGTCATTAGCCCATGGAATGCCTGGAGAATTTTGAACTTTTTGTTTTATCTCTACTATGAGGAAGTAACAGGGGGATGTATGATATCTGTGTGTACCCCCACAAACATCAACATATACACAAAGTTTAAAGAGGTGTTTTTCCTAAGATATAAAGATCCGAAGAGCAAAGAAGCCAAGATTCCAATAAATTGAAACTAAAAAAGTGTCAGTATAAAGAGCACCAAAAAGGATTTATATCATCCCTATTACCAAGGCTGTATCAGCAGTATGAAATTATTTACTGAAGTGGGTAAAGATGGAGAGTTTATTGTTGTTTTGCTTGAGTCTGTTTTGGGTGTTCAAGAAGGGAGACCGACCAAGATTTCTTCAAGCTGCTACTCTTTTCTTTTCCTCTGTCCTGTGCTCTGTGTTCTGCTGATGAAATGTCGCTTCTGTCATATTTAGGTACATCTTTGGTCGCTCTTGTTGTTCCTGTTTCCATTGGAATGTTTGTTAATCACAAATGGCCCCATAAAGCCAAGATCATACTTAAGGTAAGTGTCCCATGCCATAGGTTGGAAAATCAAATGCTCCACAGTGTGAATTCCAAATTAGTTCTGGTGAATTCTGAATCAGTTTTCTCATTATATTATAATCCTCCATCTAGGGGGACTTGATGTTGTTAGATATGCCATCCACTCTTCTAGAACGCCCTTCCTGATCCCACTACAGGGCAGAATACTATGCCCACTTTGAGATACTCAACTCAAACACTGCCTCCTGCTTTTACTCTACCTTGTACTCCCATGGCACTTGGCTCTGATCTCTGTTCTGTGGGTCTGTATTATAAAATAGACCAAGAGAGCTGTTTGAAAATAGATCATCTGTTTCTTATCTCTGAATCCATATGGCCAGTTCAGCACCTGGCAACTGGTAGATGTTAGTACCCATTAGTAATCAGTAACCATGCATTCCCCTTCACCAGCTGTATTCTACCTAGGTGAGATGGATATGGATAAGATAAAGACACAGAGGATATAAATATCCAGATATTAATACAGATAAAGGTATAGATAGATAGATGTAGATGCAGGCATACATATATCCCATTGATCAGGAGACAAAATAAGCTAGCCAGTGTTCCTTGTTCCTCTGGACCAAAAAAAAAAAAAAAAAAAAAATATATATATATATATATATATATATATAATCTCAATTTTTTTAATGTGAAAAGGAGAAAACAGAATAACAGTAGTTTGTTTGCATATGATTTTTTAAGTTTTGTAGAGTTTTATATCCCTTTTCTCACTATCATCATCATGAAAAGTATCTAGGGCAACATTTTATCTTCAGTTACAGATGAAGAAAGCAGGACTAGTAGAAGTTGTGTGACTTACCAAAGGAAGGAGAGCAGGAGGAGTTGAATCTGGAGGCCAGGTCTTCCAGTTCTTGCTGACTTGGCTTTCTTCCTCTCCAAGAAGGATAATTTCCAAGCTAGAACATCTTCTTCAGGCTAATGGAGCATGGACATTAGAGGTCTTGCTATTTTCTAAAAAATGAGAACATAGGACAAACACCGCAGTTTCTGGTAATCTGACCACAGTCATCAGGAGGGGAATACACAGCACAACTTCACTGTCTCAGCTGTTGGGTCTGCTTGTGTCTTACTTCCAGATCGGGTCCATCACAGGTGCAATCCTTATTGTGCTCATAGCTGTCGTTGGAGGAATCCTATACCAGAGTGCCTGGATCATCGCTCCCAAACTGTGGATCATAGGAACGCTATTTCCTTTGGCCGGATACTCTCTAGGGTTTTTACTGGCTAGAATATCTGGTCAACCCTGGCACAGGTATGGTGTTTTGGTAAATCAGACTGGAAGTTTTCTTCTGTAAGAGTTGTAGTATGCATTTGTCAGGGCTGCTGTAAGGAAGTACACCAGACAGGGTGGTTTAAACAACAGAAGTCTATTTTCACTTAGTATTGGAGGTCAGAAGTCCAAAGATCAGCAAGTCAGAAGGATGGTTCCTTCTGAGGGCTGTGAGGGGGAATCTGTCCCAGGCCTGTCTCCTTGGCTTATAGATGGCTGTTTTCACATTGTCTTTCTTCTATGAATGTTTCTGTATTCAAATGTCCCCTTATGATGAGGACACCAGTTATACTGGATTAGGGCCCACCCTAATTACTTTACCTTAACTAAGCATATCTGTGATAACTATATTTCCAAATAAGTCCACATTCTGAGGTCCTGGGCATTAGGACTTCAGCATATCCATTTGGGAGGAAACAATTCAACCCATACAGCTGTAAATACTGATAAAAATTCAAAATTTTCACCCTTAATAACATTCACCCCATTTCCGAATATGTCATGATATAGAATCATTCATTTCTAAGTTATATAAGCCCCCCAGAAAGAAAATACTGACAGCCTCTCTGTTGCTCAAATGCTTGGGGACCATTCCCCACACAATGCGGATTGACCCTTTCAATGTCTCACACTCTTATTTTCCAAACAGAGTAACTTCAGCAAAAGCACTCAGGCTGGCCTTGTCACTCACAAGGGCTCCTCCAGCCAGCGGCAGGATGTACTCATCATCCCAAGGCACTGATGTTAGAACTGGGGTTAGCATGTATGAGTCTGGTCCCAAGTAGAAACCTTTCCTCTCCTACCAGCCCATCTGAATCCATGGGGCGAAAAAAAAAGCAGGTGTCAGCGCCGGAGCATGTATGAGGTTGGGAGATGAGCAGCACTGGGTAGTAGAGAGTGTTACATATATGTCGTCAAGCTGACCTGGGCCTACCAGTTACTGACCTTGGGACCTCAGGACAGGCACTCACTCTTCCTCTGACTGTTCTCATCTGCAGAATGGGGCAATAACATCTACCTGGTAAACTTTTTTTTTTTTAATCAAGATTTAGTCAGAAAAACAATTCCAACTTAAAACTGAAAGAACTCTAACAAATACTCTATCTTGAGTGTTTTCTCAGCTCCTGCTCTGTGCTCTGCACAGTTACCAAGGACATAATCGAAAAGAGTGAAATGAGCCCACTTTGAATTTATGGAACACTAATATAAATGATCCTGCTCTTTTCATATCTGTATTTTTAATTTATAAATGTCTGCTTTAAATGTATATGTATTATTCAAAATGTAATTTTATTTATATTGAATATATTACCTACTAATAAAGATTATGCCATAATATAAATAGTCTTTATATATAAGTATATATACATACATATACACACATATATACAGATACAAAGATACACACAGATATATAATATATAGACACAAATATAGATCTATTCCACTGCTCAGGGGACTAAATAAGCGAGTTGGTGTTCTTTGTTTGTCTGGACAAAAAAAAATTATCTTTAAATTTTTTTTTAATGAGAAAACAGTAACAAGAATGGTTTTATTTGCATATGCTTTTTTAACTTTTGTAGAGTTTTATATCCATTTTCTCAATATCATAACAATCATAAAAGGTGAGTAGGGTTGGCACAGTTGGGTGGCTCCGTTGGGTAAACATCCCACTCTTGATTTCGGTTCAGGTCATGATCTCAGGATCCTGGGATCAAGCCCACATGGGGATTCCTGCTCTGCAGGAAGTCTGCTTGTCTCCCTCTCCTTCTGCCTCTCTCCCACCCACCCTCATGCACAGTCTCTCTCTCTGTCAAAAGGAAGGGTAAATCTTTAAAAAGAAGAAATTGTAACTAGGACCAGATATTATCTATGTATATAGAGAGAATATTTATATAGTATATAATAATATATATTAAGAAGTATTAAGAAGTTATATATCTACGTAGCTTAAGTAAAAGTACATGTTGAATAAATATATACATTTAAAGCAGGTATGAATATATACACATATATGTACTTGTTCTCATTATGTCTGCTTTTTTTTGAGAGAGAGAGAGAGCACACACTCAAGTGTGCAAAGTGGAAAGAGGGGCAGGAACAGAGAAAGAGGGAGAGAATCTCCAGCAGTCTCCACAACCAGCACGGAGCCCTATGGGGCTCAATGTCCGACCCTGAGATCATGACCTGAACTGAAATCAAGAGTTGGGGGCTTAACCAATGGAGCCACCCAGGCGCTCCCACATTATATCTGCTTCCAGCATTATTCAATAACAAAGTAAAAACTACTGACAACAAAAGGGTAACTCCTCTTAACGCGTCTCATAGGTGCCGGACAGTTGCTTTGGAAACAGGGATGCAGAACACTCAGCTGTGCTCCACCATCGTGCAGCTCTCCTTCACCCAGGAGGAACTCAACGTCGTGTTTACCTTCCCGCTCATCTACAGCATCTTCCAGCTTGCCTTCGCAGCAATATTCCTAGGAAGTAAGGAGTAATGCGAATCACGTGTTGCTGATGATGTTCCTCTTTGAGAAAGCCTCAGGGGGCTAACATGGCATTTTTTTTTTAAATAATATTTTGTGGCAGTGGATGACATAAGTTAAACTCCCTTCTTCTGGTCGTAAAAAAAAAAAAAAAAATGGATGGGAAAAGCCACCTATGTTACCATGACGTCCCAAGAAGATTGCAATTTTATCAGAAGGTTCTAGTAAAGAGTATTTATTTATTTTTATATATTTTATATATTTATGTATTTTTACATTTATATACTCTATACAGTTATTACTTTTAAATGATAAGTAATAGAAGTCAATTCTCTCCATCAGCTTTCCTTTTCTCAATAATTAGGGAGACATATTAACCTGTTAGGAGAATTTTATTGTGTGTCTTTCTACATGCTTCCAGAAACCCCAAGCTGGGCATTTTTTCCAGATCATCATCTTGATATGCTTTGTAAATATAGGCTATTTATCCAAAACAATGGTATACAAGGGATATCTATCAGGCTAAGTTATACTGGAAGACAGATATGTGTGCATGTTCATGTGTGCCTACACTGCGTAATGTCCATATAATTGAAACAGTCAAAGCAAACACATCCTTATTTCAAGTCCTAGGGATAACTAACCTGGTTGTTCATTTTCCTCTACCGTAGCTTCCAGCTCTAGTCCTCAGCACCTGCCACCTGCTGGCCTTCACCTAGTTAAAGCTTGCCTTGCATTTTGTTCTCCAGGGACTGATATGTTTAACCTCTATTTTTCAACTCTGCTTTTTTTTCTAAATAAAGAGACTGATACCTTAAGCTCATTGATTTTTAAGGAGGGTTATATAGTGAAGGTGAAAGACACAAATAATGGCAGTGTTAAGTTGTAGAATGCCCAGTGGTCCAGTGTTGTTTGTGTCTGGTTTGGCTTTGTTCACTCCAATAGGTATTGCACTTGCCCGTGGGCACTAACTCTTCTCTGTGCTACTGTCCAGAACACTATTCTCAAAGAAGAGTTTTCCTTCTCATATAAGACTCTCCGGATCCATTCGAAACTTTCCACTGATCTATCACTCACACAGGAGACAGGGGTCCATGGTCTAATTACCTTGTTGTCATATATGATAGACATACACCCAATTTGGTACACCTTGAGATTTTTCCAAATAATTAGCTAATGATGTCTACTAGAAAGCCAGAGAAAGCAGACTGGTTGATAGAACAATTCAGTGAATTTGCTAGTTGAATAACTAACTCAAAAGAGACTCATAAATAAACCAAAGGAATGATGGGAAAGCAGGTACTGGTATTGGTCTTATACTTCCCCACATATTTATCAGTAAAAATAAAGATGAGGAAGTCATCATTATTAATTACATGCAGTGCCTGGAAACATATTTTGGTAAAAGGATTAGAAGCTTTAATTTTTCTGGAATAAGGAAAAGAGGAATGGAAGGGACAGAGGGAGGAAGAGAGGAAGGACTGAAGAAAGGAGAGAACAAAGGGAAGCAAGGAAAGGAGGGAGGGATAGAGGGAGGAAGGAAGGAAGAAAGGAAAGAAGGAAGGAAGGGGAAGGGGAGGAAAGGAGGGAGAGAGAGAGGGGAAGAAAAGGAAGAAGGAAAGAAGAGAATAAACAATTTGGTTAAATAAAATAGGTGGTGTGTGGGGCGCCTGGGTGGCTCAGTGGGTTAAGCCTCTGCTTTCGGCTCAGGTCATGATCCCAGGGTCCTGGGATCGAGTCCCGCATCAGCATATCTGCTCACAGGGAGCCTGCTTTCCCCCTTCTCTCTCTGCCTGCCTCTCTGTCTACTTGTGATCTCTGTCTGTCAAATAAATAAATAAAATCTTTAAAAAAAAAAAATAGGTGGTGTGTGTTGAAGAAGTCCCAGCTGAAAACAATTTATAATAAAACTGCTGGACTATTTTAATTAACCACAAGCTCAGTTCAATAGACTCAATAGCTCAGTGGCTTCAAAATTAATATATTGCTAAAGGGACCAATAAGGAGACATGGATCGTGACATATTAAGATCTTTGAAGCAGATCCTTGTCTCTCTCAGCTGTGTATCATGAGAGGTAACATTTCCTGAGCAGTAACTACTCTCCCAGGGCCATACTAGGCATCTTACTATATTATTTTTTTTGAAGATTCACAATTACCCTCTGAGATAGACAATATTATTATATCTATTTTAAGTGTGAAGTTCCTATAAATAATACTTTCTCTCACTCTGTTGACTTTGGAACTAATTGAGAAGTAGAAGAAAAATCAACTGTGTAGTTTTAAAAATAGTACTCTTATTACAGATAAAACTTATATAGAAAATATGGCTCAAAATTGCAACCACATGGGCTGATTCACCCCTTTCCACCACCCCATTCATGGGCATGTTGCATGTGTATACACACACACACTGCTCACCTCCCCTTGCTAGGAAATATAACCATCCTTCCCACCACGGCTGGCTGCGGAATTAAAGAACGTCTTCCACTTTCTCTAAGCAGCATGCATCCTACAGAAAGTGCAAGCTGATTTTGAGCCACAGATTGTAATCACTGCCCAAAAAAAGCTTGCAGCTAATTGTTATGAAACTCCACTAACCTCCTGTGTATTACTTTCTAGTGTATGTGGCATACAAGAAATGTCATGGAAAAAATAATGTGGAATTTTCAGAGAACAAAGACAATGAAATGGTCTCCGGGTCATCGCTCCATAAGGTGAATGAAGGATTTCAACCAGATGGAAGGTAGACACCGACTGGACAAAAGAGAAGAATTCTAAAAGTACATGCTTCTGTTAACAAGATTTATTTGTTTTGATGAGATATTTGGCAGGAAAAAGTTAAAGTGAAAATTTAAACTCCAGTTGAATCCATACATTGGTTTTGGTACCGAGTGACTGGTGGTCCAAATCCTTAATGTGACAAATATTTATATATATATATATATATATATATATATATATACATATATATATACGGTCTTTGAAATATGCCCAAGAAATATCCTCGGACCTCCGGCTAAAACTGACATTGGTAACACTGAGAACGTCCTAACTCCTGAACAGATTCTTAACTAGAATCTCGTAACCTGACCTTTCGTATCTTAATATAGATGCAATGAATTGTTGTTATTATTATAAAATGATCAAGATTTTCTTCAGTATTTATGATTGTAAAAAGATTGAAATGAACATCTTCCGCCGACATATTAATTACTACTTTGAAAATGTTGTAACCTATTTATTTATATAACTTTGTAATGTAACATGGACAAATACCTGACTTCCCGTATTTAAAAAAAAAAAAAAAAAAAAGTCAGTCTTCTCCAGGGACAGCCCAAAAGCAAAAATAAGAGAAAAGAATTACTAAATAGAATTCAATCACCAAATTAGAATCAGGCCCATACTCATCAGGGACCTTATACATGGGTTGCTTTGCCTCAGGAGTCCAATGACACCCCTAGTTTTTTTTAGGAAAAGCAGAATTCTTTCCTATGTCTTAAATTTGGCAAAGAGCTCTTCAAGCCCTAGAAAGGGGCTTCTTCAAGGTTTGCCTGTAGGAGGCAGGTCTATTCAGCTCACGGGAAGGCCCCACAGTAAGCATCATGGAGCGGGGAGGGGCCAGGAGGCTCAAAGACTGCAGAGGTCCTGCAAAAATCACCCCTACTCTAGTGAGTGAGCTCAGTTACATGGGACATGATGGGAAATGCAAGGAAAAGCACCGATAATAAAGGCCCACTTGAAGTGCATGATAAGGGTGAGTTAGATGTTACCAATAAAAAGAATGAAATCAAGGAGCCACAAGGGAAGTGGGTATTAAACAGTATTTGAAGAAGAGGACATGCCCAGGGCCCAGAAGTAGGGTGGGCACTGCCAAGTGGGTTGTCTGCGCGCTGTGAGTAGGCGTCACAAGAGGAAGCAGGCAGGATTTGATCAATGGCAGCAGGGCTCCGTGTCAAGGGGGAAACAACTGGCCCCATGTTGGATCTAATTGAATTTCTTTTCCTTCATTCTGCAGCAAAAGCGGGCCCATTCTTAACTCAGATCACAGTGGTTTAGTTCTGTTTTCCATTTAGACATTTTCCCTGCCTCATAGATTTCCTTTGGAGTGTTTGGGATCCAAAGGGCCTTTTGTGTTTTATTGAGGTGAGTTCAGATCCTGCTGGTGTTCCTCAGCATTCAAAGAACACGAAGATCACCTCTGAGCTTTCAATGGACGATGAGGGAATATGCTTTTAAAATTGTAATACTTATGCCTTTTTATAGGCGGGTCACTTTACAATTGAATAAAGCTCCTATTTTTTTTTTCATCATTAGACAAATATATTAAAAGGGACTAAAGATTTTTATTAAAGGCCAGTAGGGAAGAGATGGTACAGCTTTTCCATTAGGGAGTTTCAAAGAATACGCTTCTGAGGGTGCATGAGAAAGACACTGGGAGTGTCTGTTAAGTACCTCCTGTGCTTTCCTCATCAAACAGAAAAAAAGCAGGTGTACTGAAGCCACACAGTGAATTCAGATGATCACTTCAACACACCCAGAGTCGAGGATCCGGATGCCGGCAGCTGAAGCGAGCAGGCTTTTCCTCCCTATAGGACCCAGATATGTGAGGCAAAACTTGGCTTTCTCACATGGAATGGTATCTTGTGAGTTGTGGTTTTTTCCCTGATATGCTCGAGGGAAGAAAAATAGCTGAGCTTTGCAAAATGACAGCTCTGTATTTTTCAATGAGTTTGAAAAGCCGACTAAATTATGTATTTTATTGCCTCTGCGAGTATCATATTAAATGAATATTTTATTTTAAAGGCTTAAATAAATGAAAATAATTTTTGTAATGTTTGGTCTATGCGAGTCTTTGTGACAACTGTCAAGATTTCTTCATTGTTCAATTGTAGAGATATAAATAAGGTGGGCTTTCTCTAATATTAGATTGTTCTCTGAGAAGTGCCTGAAAGAAAATCTTAATTAAATATCCTAATAATTGGGTCTCCCACAGATACAGATTGAGGTTGTCCCCAAGCAAATCACACTGGGGGAACATTAATCAAAGACTTAAAAACAGTGTGACAATGACAACTATTTAAAATAATAATAAAAGTATGACATGTACTGATAAATAAGACTACTATCACCTTTTATGAAAATTTTACATTTACATACATAGCGTAATGTATAAACATGAATATGAATATATATGGACATGTATATAGCGAGAGAGAGAACATAAATAGACACAGAGAAAGAGACTTCAATTATGGTAGCAGTGCATTAAAGTCTCTCACCAACTGGATTGAAGAAATTCTGGATATGAGCCCCATCTGACTCCTCAAAGACATTACTCTGTTGTCCCTCTAGGAAACTTGACTCCCTTCCAGCAGGAAACAATTTATCTTTCTTGGAATATTTGACAACCCATTGCCTCTCACGCGTTTGCCTCTTCAAAAACCACATTAGTTGAGCACAAGAGTCTTTATACTATGTTATGGATCCTCCTGGGAGTTCTTGAAATTGTCCAAGGGGTGTGCAGGCATGGATAGGGAATCAGTTTCCGTTTCTTCAATTTCCATATGTGTGCTTTCCCCAAACTCCCCTGCTTGAGATGCCCCAGGGCTGCTTGCCCTAGGTTCCCCCTCCCCACCTCCCCTTTCTTGGCAGGGCTCTCCCGTTGAAAGGAAAAGCCTATTCTAGCCACCCCTCATCTACTATGGTGGAGAGGCCCAGGGGAAAAGACAAGACTTGAGCACCAGCTAAAGGAATAATTCAAAATAATAGTGTCTGTGAAAGGCTTCTTATCTTTTTAATTGATTACATACATATCTGTTTAAGACTTTGGAACAGGGTATTTTTTTTCATATTTTTTTTGTTTGTATATTTTTTGTTTTTTTAAATACTTTTCAGTGTACTAGAATTCAGTGCTTATGCACAACACCCAGTGCTCCATGCAATACGTGCCCTCCACAATACCCACCACCAAGCTAGCCCAACTTCCCAGCCCCCGCCCCTTCAAAACCCTCAGATTGTTTTTCAGAGCCCACAGTCTCTCATGGTTCATCTCCCCCTCCAATTTCCCTCAACTCCCTTCTCCTCTCCATCTCCCCATGTCCCCATCATGTTATTTCTTATGCTTCACAAATAAGTGAAACCATATGATAATTGACTCTCTCTGCTTGACTTAATTTCACTCAGCATAATCTCTTCCAGTCCCGTCCATGTTGCTACAAAACTTGGGTATTCATCCTTTCTGATGGAGGCATCATACTCCATAGTGTATATGGACCACATCTTCCTTATCCATTCGTCCGTTGAAGGGCATCTTGGTTCTTTCCACAGTTTGGCGACCGTGGCCATTGCTGCTATGAACATTGGGGTACAGATGGCTCTTCTTTTCACTACATCTGTATCTTTGGGGTAAATACCCAGTAGTGCAATTGCAGGGTCATAGGGAAGCTCTATTTTTAATAGGAACAGGGTATTTTTTACCTGTGTTGGAATATTTTAATGTAGAAATACTCTAGAGTGGGAGTGAAGAAAAATCTCCATGAACATGCTAGCATTTCCATCCCCAACGTTTTACACACCCCCCGCCAAAAAAACCTCTCTTGAGGATAATCCAAACCCATATTGATATATTAATTAGAATTAAAAAATGAAGTTGGATTTTTTTTTTCTGACAGAAAGTCTGATTTGGCTGATTGGTTTAACAAGAGCCCCTGTTTTGCCAGTTAGGACATATGAAGGACACTTTTCATAAATTAGATGAGCTAAATCTGCAGCTCAAAGGTTTAAAAATATATATTAAAAACATGTAATAATACAAAAACCATATTTTAAAAATAATTGACCTAGAATATATAAAGACTCGTAACAACCCAAAAATAAGAAGGTAAGTCAATTTTTTGAATGAGCAAAAAAAAAAAAATGAACAAACAAGCAAAGAATGACTGTAAAGCAAATAAGCACATGGCCATGGCAAATGAATACAGGAAAAGGTGCTCAACATCATTAATAGTTAGATAAATGCAATACCTCAATAAGGTACTACTTAAATACCCATAAAATAGCTAAAATGAAAAATTAGTAATGATAGCAAGTACTGGTGAGAATATAAACAGTAACTCCCATAGTTTGCAGGTGGTATGGTCACTTTCCAAACTAGTTTGCAGTTTCTTATAAAGTTAAGCATCCACTAACCACATAACAGCAATCTCACTCTTCGGTATTTATGCAGTTCCTAGAAGTAGAGCACAGTAAGACAAAGCTCAGGGGCCAGGAACTTGCAACGGGCCTTGACTCTAAGAGGCACAAGGGAACATTTGGGGTGATGGAAATGCTCTAAATCACGACTTTGGTGGTGGTTACACCATTTCAAGCACTTGTCAAAATGCATAGAACGGTACATTTTTTTTTTAAGAATTTTTTTCTTTTTTTTTAAGATTTTTTTTATTTATTTGACAGATCACAAGTGGGCAGAGAGGCAGGCAGAGAGAGACAGGAGGAGGAGGCAGGCTCCCTGCTGGGCAGAGAGCCCGATGCAGGACTCGATCCCAGGACCCTGAGATCATGACCTGAGCCGAAGGCAGAGGCTTTAACCACTGAGCCACCCAGGCGCCCCTAGAATGGTACATTTTAAATTGGTGCGTTTTATGCCACGTAAATTATACCATTAATAAAGCTGGCTAAAAATGTTATTGTCCAAGATGTAGCAAGGGAATTTACTACATTTTTCCTGACTCTCTGAGAACACCAAGTAAAATTTGGAGCCTCTAAGTGAAAGAGTAACAGGCTCTAAGAGCTGTCAGACAAGTCTACTAAAGACTTTGTTCATATACTTCTTAGAAATTAAAAGCTCAAGTTCCAGAAACATTTTGAGAAACAGGTATTTTCAATTCTTTTCTTGCAGCAAAACTGAAAAAGATTCTCACTGAGTTGTCAACTCT